CCCTTATGACAGGGATCAACTCTTGCATTTCAATTATTAGCCTAAATGTGAATAGACTAAATGCACCACTGAAGAGACATAGAATGGCAAAATGGATAAAATATCATCAGGTAACAATCTATTGCCTTCAAGAGACTCACCTCACTAGAAAGGACACCCACAGACACAAAGTAAGAGGATGGAAACAAACATTCAGGCAAACGGAATACAAAAGAAAGGAGGAGTAGCGATCTTAACTTCAGACAAAATACCCTTCAAGCTATTAAAAATCAAAAAAGATACAGAAGGCCACTACACAATGATAAAAGGTTCACTCCATCAACAAGAAATATCTATCCTAAACACATATGCACCCAACATAGGGGTGCCAACTTTCATAAAGCAACTTTTAGGAAAACTAAAGAAAGATATTGACTCTAACACCATCATAACTGGGGACTTAAATACCACACTCACAACCCTAGACAGATCATCAGGACAAAATATCAGCAAGGAGATCCGGAACCTCATTGTGACTTTGGACCAAATGGACTTAATTGATACCTACAGAACGCTCCATCCAAAGACCACAAAATACACATTCTACTCATCAACACATGGATCATATTCTAAAATCGACCACATACTCGACCATAAATCAAGCATAAGCAAATTTTAAAGGACCAAAAATCTACCATGTACCTTCACGTACCACAGTGGAATAAAAATAAACATTGACACCAACAAAGTCCCCCCAAAACCCACAAAGACATGGACACTAAACAGCATGATGCTAAACAACTCCTGGGTCAATGATGAAATCAAAACAGAGATCAAAAGATACCTGGAAACAAATGAAAATGAAGAAACATCTTACCAAAATCTCTGGGATGCCCTGAAAGCTGTAGTAAGAGGGGAATTTATATCCCTTCAAACACACATGAAGAAAATGGAAGGAACAGAAATTCACAACCTAACAAGCCACCTAAAGAAGCTGGAAAAGCAAGACCACAAAAACCCTAATTTCAGCAGAAGAATCCAGATCACCAAAATAAAAGCCCAAATCCAGGACATAGAAGACAAAAAGATAATACAAAAAATCAATGAAACAAAAAGCTGGTTCTTCGAAAGGATAAACAAGATCGATGGTCCCCTAGCTAAACTGACCAAGAAAAAATGAGAAAAAAACCAAATAAGCACAATCAGAAACACAAAAGATGAAGTCACATCTGACCCTGAAGAAATACAAAAGATCATTAGAGACTACTACGTACACTTATATGGAAACAACTTGAAAACCTTAAGAAAATGGAGGACTTTCTAACATCACACAACCTACCTAGGTTGGAACAAGAAGAAATTGAGACCCTAAATAGGCCAATAACAATCAAGGAAATTGACTACGTAATAAGAAAACTTCCTACAAAAAAAAGCCCTGGTCCAGAGGGCTTTCCAGCAGAATTCTACAAGACATTTAAGGAGGAGCTGATACCAATCCTACTGAAGGTATTCTAGGCGATTGAAAAATATGGAACTCTCCCCAAATCATTGTACGAAGCCAACATCAAATTGATATCTAAGCCAGGTAAAGATACAACAAAGAAAGAGAACTATAGGCCAATATCTTTGATGAACATAGATGCTAAAATTCTCAACAAGATCCTAGCAAACCGGATTCAGTAATACATCTCAAAAATCATCCACCATGACCAAGTAGGCTTCATTCCTAGCATACAAGCCTGGTTCAACATTCGTAAAACCATAAATGCAATTAAATTCATCAACAGATGTCAAAACAAAAACCACATGATCATATCATGAGATGCAAAAAAAGCTTTTAATAAAATCCAGCACCCCTTCTTGATAAAAACTCTTGAGCATCTAGGCATACGAGAAACATACCTCAAAATAGTAAAAGCCATCTATGAGAAACCCACAGCCAGCATACTCCTAAATGGACAAAGATTGGAACCAATTCCCCTGAAAACTGGAACTAGATAAGGATGCCCACTCTCACTCCTCCTATTCAACATAGTATTGGAAGTCCTGGCTAGAGCAATCAGAGAAGAGGAGGCAATCAGGGGTATCCAAATAGGAAAAGAGGAAGTCAAGTTATCTCTCTTTGCAGATGATATGATTGTGTACCTTGAAAACCCAAGAGAATCTGTCAAAGGCCTCCTTACATTGATAAAGGCCTTTGGTAAAGTCTCAGGATACAAAATAAATGTACAAAAGACAATCGCATTTCTCTACACCAATAATAAACAAACAGAAACCCAAATAAAAAACACAATTCCATTCACAATAGCCACAAAAAAATGAAATACCTTGGCATCTTCCTAACCAGAGAGGTGAAAGACCTTTACAATGAAAATTACAAAACACTGCTCAAAGAAATCAAAGATGACACAAACAAGTGGAAAAATATCCTATACTCATGGATTGGAAGAATCAACATTGTGAAGATGTCCATCTTACCTAAGGCAATCTACAAATTCAATGCAATACCCATCGAATTACTAGCAACATTCTTCTCAGATCTGGAAAAAACAACACAGGAATTCATATGGAAATACAAATGTCCAAGAATAGCCAGAATAATCCTCAGCAAAAAAAACAAAGCACGTGGTATCACATTACCAGACCTCAAACTTTACTATAAAGCTACAATCATCAAAACAGCTTGGTATTGGTAGAGGAACAGGCATATAGATCAATGGAATAGAACTGAGATTCCAGAAGAAAAACCTCAATTTCTCAACCAACTCATCTCGACAAAGCCCCCACCTCCTACCACTGGGGAGAGGAGAACCTATTCAGTAAATAGTGCTGGGAAAACTGACTGACCACATGCAGAAGATTGAAACAGGACCCCTATCTATCCCCATGCACAAAGGTTAACTCCAAATGGATCAGAGACCTAAATGTAAAACCTCAAACCATAAGAACCTTAGAAAAGGAAGGAAATACTCTCATGGAAATCGGAACTGGCATCCAATTCCTGTACAAAACCCGAAACCCACAGGACTAAAGAGAGAAGATAGACAAATGGGACCTTATTAAACTGACAAGCTTCTGCAAAGCCAAAGAAACCATCAAGAGAGCAGGGAGACAGCCTACAGACTGGGAAAAAGTATTTGCCAACTCTAGGTCTGACAAAGGCTTAACATCCTGGATCTACAAGGAACTGAAACGTACTGAAAAGAAGAAAACAAACAACCCCATTATAAAATGGGCAAAAGATATGAACAGACACTTCACAAAAGAAGACATTCGAGCAGCCAACAAACACATGAAGAAATGCTCAACCTCACTAATCATCAGGGAGATGCAAATCAAAACCACACTGAGATACCACCTAACTCCAGTCAGAATGGCAATTATCAACAACTCAAAAAATAACAGCTGCTGGAGAGGGTGTGGTGAAAAGGGAACACTTCTACACTGTTGGTGGGAGTGTAAACTAGTGCAACCTCTGTGGAAAGCAGTGTGGCGATTCCTAAAAGCTCTAAAAATCGACCTTCTATATGATCCTGCAATCCCCCTACTGGGAATATACCCTGAAGACCTCAAAACACTCTATAAAAAGGATACCTACACACGTATGTTTATCGCAGCATTGTTCACAATAGCAAGAACCTGGAAACAACCATGCTGCCCATCAAAAGAGGACTGAATTTAAAAAATGTGGTACATATACACGATGGAATGCTATGCAGCCATAAAAAAGAACAAAGTCATGAATTTCGCAGCAACCTGGATGGAACTAGAGTCTATAATACTGAGTGATCTCTCACAGAAACAGAGATCCGAGTATCACATATTCTCATTCATATAATGGACCTTGAACATCCAATGTAATACTATAAGAACATGACTGATGGTACTGGGAAATTATGGGGCGAGAGGGATGGGATTAACAGGCGCAAATCTGTCTGGGGATGGGGATACACCTCTTATCAACAGGGTGCCTGAATGAAATGTAATTGTACACCTAGCCCTTAACTGTACTCCACAAAATCATAATAAAAAATATTGATTAAAAAATAAATAAATAAATAAAAATAAATTTTTTAAAAAGTAGAGCAAGTTACCATTTTTAAAAATAAAATAAGATACTGTCATCAAACTAAAAAAAAAATTTTTTTCCGTTATAAAAATATATGTATTATTTATACCCAACATGGAAGAGAAGTTGCACTTGCTGTGGAAACCAATAATTTATTTGCTTTACCCTTTTTTCCTTTATAATGTAAATAATAATCCTAATGTACAAAAATTCTGACAGTTTGGACACTGGAAGCTGTTCATCCAG